CCTCTTGGCGCTGCTGGCCCGCAACGCGGCTCACTCGCTCCCGGCCACGCTCGGTTGCATCGAGAGGCTGCGGCACCCAAAGGACCGCATCGCGCTCTGGTGAGTGGCAGGCAGGCAGCCCGCCGGGGGCGCGCGGGGCGCGCGTGCACCTCCCCTCCCCTCCCCTCCTTTCTGCCCGGGTGGAAGAGCGGGGTGGATTTCCTCCTCTCCTCGCGCTAACTAATCCGGAGTAGTTGTCGGAGCCGCCCCGGTTTCCCCCCCCAGCGCAGACGAATGGGATGGCGAGGCCAGGCAAGGCTTGAGCTGCGATTGCTGAGCAGTTTGGCGCCGGAGAGCCCTTCGCCTCCCTCGCCGCGCGATCCTGCAGCGTTTACTCCGAAGGCAGCCCTTTTGAGATGGGGGGATATTCACCCCGGAGTGAATGAGTCGCTGGGACCCAGGTTCTGAGTAAATAACAGTGTTACGATGGGCAACCACCGGTTAGAGCCCCTGCTGCCCCCCCCCCGAAAGCTAGTTCCTTAGCTTTGCCATAGTAGGTAAGAGGACCTATGAATCGCTGAACTATAAGGCGATGTTGGGATGCGTCCCATAGATTCATCGTATCAACTCTAATCAGGAGTAGCAGTTGGATTTAGATCTTTGTCTTAACTATGCCCCCCCCCACCTAACAAGTCTCTGGAGAGGAAAAACTTGCGCAGGGCCACCCTCTGCAAGTGGCCCCGGGGTTCCCTCATTTTATTTAGGATGGCGTGTGGATCTCCAAAGGGTGGGAAGCAGTTTCCAGCCTCTGAGACCTTTGTGGAAGGGTTGCACAAACCACCTAAAATGCAGAGACAAAACCAAGCAAACTGGAAGTTTTTGGAAGACTAGTTCTGGTTTTCATAAATGGATATTGTGTGGTGTTAAATGAAGCAGAGGAACTAAGTGACTTCTTTGAAAGTGAATTACTGTTTCTGGAGACTCTTTGGGGCAGAGCTTTCCTCCCCTCCCCCAAGAAAAGACAGAGTCAGGGGGAAATGGAAGAGGAACAAAATAGTTCTTTGGCCTCATCTGGCTTCACGGTGGCACTTTACCCACCGCTGTTCTAAGAGGTAGGCGTCTGTATTGGGAGTGTCCCCAGGATGAGGAGCATGTTGCTGTCTAGATGTTGGGCTGCAGGCTGCATCAGCTATAGCAGGCATAGTAAAGGGTGAAGGATGCTGAGACTTGAAGTTCATTAACATCTGGACGGCCATCAAGTAGCCCTATTTTTATTTTATGTCTTCCCATACAAGTCATGACAGTAGGATCTGCCTGGATGGGGTGGAGTCACAAGTGTGACATTTAAGGCCCAGAGGGTAGCAGAATGCTGATCACTGTTCTAGGGTTGTGGGTAAGTGGGAAACTTCCTCTGCCTTAAAAAGCAGCCTGTTCAGCAACCGTTCTGTGAAGGAGCTTGTTGTGGATGAGCTTGGCTGGCAAAATACTGGTGTGTCAGTCACTCAGGAAAAAAGTGCCCAATAAAAGCACACAGAGCCTGGCCCCAAGGTTCATTTTGTTGCCTAAGACAAACAAGATGGTGCCCCCTCCAATATCACACTTCATTCGCAGGGCATGACAGGAGCTGGGGGGGGAGAGGGAACTTTACCCCAAAATCTTTGGATGTGGCAAACTTCTCTTCAGGCTTTGGGCTGTGAGTTGCCAAAGTCACATACAAAAGCACATTGTATTGAATTCTGGATTTTTCTGGTAATATCATGAATCAAATTGGGTCTTCCACTGCCTTTGATGGCAGCAGGCTTGGCCAGTGGTGGACGACAAGCCACGTGGCATACATTTTTTTATTTTCCCTTCAACATTGCTGCCATATGGGGCATCAGGCCCACTAAAATACTGGGGTCAACCCTGGCACCCTGCTGTTTTACTGTCCCTTAATTCCATACCCCATTTAGGTATGGTACTTTCAGTCTCTGTGTTTGTCGGTGTTGAGGGCACTTTGCCCATACTGGTTTGGTTCAGCTGATTCAGTGAGGAAAAATAGGGGTGAAGGAAAGTAGCTTGAACAAGCTGCATTCTTGTCTGTGAGGGAGAAAATGTGCCTTTTCACCACAGTCAGTCTCTTAAGGGTTCCGTCTTTCACCAGAGGCTTCTAGGGAAAAGTAGTGCCCCTTGGTGCAATGAAAAGTAACTTGTCTGACCCAACATAATATTCAAGTCCCTGGGATAAATTTTTATTTGTTTTTTAAAAAATTATATGCCGTCTTTCTATTAAAAAGGATTCAAGGCAGCTTACATTAAAAGAAACAATAACTAAAAACTAAAAACACAAATTGTTATTTATATTTTAAAAGAATTAAACAAAATAAATTTTTGTTTTTTAAAAAACTATATGCCGCCTTTCTCTTAAAAAGGATTCAAGGCAGCTTACATTAAAAGAAACAATAACTAAAAACTAAAAACACAAATTGTTATTTATATTTTAAAAGAATTAAACAAATAGAGTATTAAAACTAGTAGATAAAACAGTAATAAAACATACTGTGTTTCCCCAAGAATAAGACGGTTTTCCATTAATTTTTGCTCCAAAAAACACATTAGGGCTTATTTTCAAGGGATGTTTTATTTAACAGTCATGTCATCATCTTCTGGTTGCTGCACAGTGGTGGAGGGTGGGGTTTCACTTAATTGGGGCTTATTTTTGGGATAGGGCTTATATTGCGAGCATCCTGAAAAATCATACTAGGGCTTATTTTAGGGGAAACAGGGTATTAAATATACCAACAATAAAAACACAACATTTATGTTAAAAAAAACCAGACACCTCTCAAGCAGCCAGTCAACTAAGAGAAAGCCTTCCTGAAAGGTCTTTGCCTCCTTGCAGATGGACAGCAATGATGGGGCCAGCCTGGTCTCCCGTGGGAGGGGATTCTAGAGCCTGGGTGCATCAACAGAGAAGGCCCTCTTGACAGGCTTATAAAGAGAGATATGGTCTTTGAGATAGTTTGTGCCCAAACTATTTTCTAATGGCATTCCTCTTCTCTAAGTCATAGCAGATCCCGGTGTTTCTGGGACATAACTCTCCCTAACAGTTCCTGGATCTTGCAGCAGGGTAGCAAAGTCCAGTTTCCAGCTGTGCACGGCCTTGTAGCTTGTTACCACACAGAAATTAGCTTTTTTCTATGTTGTTTTTGGCCTGGTCTCTCATCATGAGTGCTTCTTGGTAAGTCATGCCAAAAGACGGCTCCTGTCCACATGTATTTTAGGCATAAGGCATAAGCCCACTGATCTTCTCAACTGCTTTTTCAGCTGAGATCCCATTCTGGCTCTCTGAGGGGAAAACTAGACAGTATCGTAAACAAGTCATTACAAACTGTTCCCTTAAAAAGTAAAATATGTTTGTTTGTCCAAGCAGATGTTTTCCTCCTTGCCACTTGTTACAAATTAGTTTACTTTTGTTTTGAGATTGGTCAGCAGGAAGTAAACATGGGCCTCATCTGCATGGTTTACTGCTCTTGCACAGAACATTGAAGGAATTAGTTCTTTCAAAGGAAACCATCAGCCTCTTAGTTGCGAAGCTGGTATCTTGTACTGTCCGACCAACTTCTTGGGTTGCAAAGATACACGTGCCTTTTCCCTTTCACAATCAGGCACAGTTCCCCTTTGACTTGCGAAATATAATTTCCTCCTCTTTGAAAGCTGTGGAACAGACAGTTTTCTTACAGTTCCTCGTATTTAAATAGCCTGAGCAGCTGTTTTGCTGGGCAGACCACCATCCTGCCCCTCCAACCTGCAGATAAAATTTGGCATTGTGACACATATGGGGACTGTAAATGTCTCGAGTCTAAACCTGTCATCCTATATGATTGAAAGCATTTGTTTGAAAAGCTGACCCTTATTAAATAGGCAGCAGGAACACAGTGTTTTTTCTTTCCTTTTTTCTTTTTCTGAAAGGGAGCAGGAGCTGCTATTGTAGAGGAAAGAAGCCAATTCATTTATCTGTCTGGAAGAAAGCCTATAGTGGGTGATTTTCTTTAGGGTATTAGTTCTGTTAAGATGTATACATATGGGGAGTGGGGGCGAATAATCAATTCAGACTCCAATTAATTTAGGATTTGAGAGGGTGAAACAATAAAAGTGGCTTCCGATACAAGCCTTTTGTCAGAATTACTGAGACCACGTGGGTGTTCTGAATGTTCTCAATCATTAATTGACAATTCAACAAAATTCCTTTTTTCGGTAGTTGGAAAAATCTCAGTCCTACGGAGAATAAGAGTTGCTAGCTGCTTTTTAAAAAGCAATCTATTCCATAATCTGCATTAGGATTATGGGTGTGAAAAAAAATAATACCTCACCATGGTTTATCTGAAACACTACATGATATCATGCTGGATATGATACTCTTGCTATGCACATATACCAGGAGATGGTAGAGCTAAGCAGCAGCAGTTCCACAAGCCTTTATATATTGCATCAATGCTGAATATGCTTTCGGTCATGCAGTGAAAGCAGCTGTCATCTGGCTGAATTTGCAGGGGCACTGAACATAAAGGCTAACCTGTGTATCAAGTGTCCTAGCTATAATGCAGCCTGTTCAATAAAAATAAATCCACATTGCAGCCCTCATTCAGACTCGGCAACAGACATTCCAAGTCCGCACAGCCTTGTCCATTTCTTGGATTTCAGTTTGACAGAGATCTGGATGAACAAATGCATACATCTGTGTCTATCTGGTCCATAAAGTGTGAGTTTAGGATTAAAATATATAATTCAATCACATTTTTAAAATACTGATTATTTTATTAGAAATATTTTCCCTCTTTTCATTATTATGAATGTAGTCCACCCCCCAATCTGTCTATGGATGCAAACATCATCATGACATTTGCCTGCACTTGATGTATTGCCCTGTATGAATCACTCCTGAGGCCACCATTTGGATATTATGGTTCAAGTGTGCCAGCCAACACTTGGGGTGTGTTGTTTTTTTCCTCTTTAAGGTTGAAACATGCAAGGAAAGAGTTAAACCCTCCCTCCGCATACTCGCCCTGGTCCTGTCCGAGTCTTGCCACCCTCCACTGTTAGCTGTTTTTCATAAAATTAAAGAGTTGGAAGGGGCCTATAAGGCCATCGAGTCTAGCTCCCTGCTCAGTGCAGGAATCCAAGTCAAAGCAGATCTAACAGATGGGGGTCCAGTTCTCTCTCGAGTGCTTCCAGCATTGGAGTGCTCACCATCTCCCCAGGTAATTGGTTCCATTGTCATACTGCTCTAACAGTTAAGAAGTTTTGCCTGATATTCAGCCTAAATCTGGCTTCCTGTTTTTAAAACCCACTCTTTGAATGCACAGGCACATTTAACCTCTGGTGTGGTTCAGCCTCAAGTTACTTGAGTCTACTGCCCTCAGTTGAGAGCCTTTCAGTTCTGTTGAACCATAACTCCTTTCTTCATTCCCAGCCGGTGTGAGCAGTGGCCGTCTTCCCTGGAGAATGATGGGTGTTGTAATCCAATGCACCTGAAGGGCATCCAGGGGACTGTCTTAACAAAAACTTTCCTTCCTTCCTTGAACCACTTTAATTCAGCAGTTCTCCTGCTGGAGCACAATCCATCAACATTTCCTTAAAACAATTTAAACACTGTAACTTGAAACAAACACATTGATAGGTTTGGATACAATTTTGCCTCTTTAGGCCCCAAATGAACAGTCAGGTTTTAACTTGGTGTTGAAATGCAGGCAACATCGTATGAGGGCAAGAATCAACTCTGGGAACTGGGTGGGACCACCTTTCGTGAACCAGTAATATTAGTATTCCACTCACCACCACCACCACCCATGCTTTCAAGCCGTCACTCTGTGCCACAGTGCTAATGTATTTATACATAGCAGCCTAGGCAGTGCTTTTATGTGTGTGTACATTTGGGAAGGGAAAGCTTAGTAGCATCAAACCTGATGCTATATTGTGTGAAGGCCCAGGCAAATGCTGAAGTACCACCGTCATGTATTTCCTGCAAATGTGTTTGTGTGTGTGTGTGATTGTTTGACAGGCCAGGGATGTGGGAGGGAGGTGTGGAATGAAATTCTCGAAATGCTGAACTCTGTTTTATTGTCTGATGTTTCTGTAGGGTGGCAACAGATCACAATGTGGACAACACAACCGCTGTGCTTCGGGAGTGGCTGATGAATGTGCAGGGCATGTATCACTCGGTGGAGTGGCGGCCCATGGAACAGCCACGGTGAGTAAATGAACGTGAAGGATGGGCCAGAATGGTGCATGAAAGCTCACCATCCGAGCATGAAGCTAGATTTCAAGATGTGGAGGGAGAAAATAGGAATACAGAAGCTGCTCAGGTTCCCCTTGCTTGCTTCCTGCTTTCTCTTTTGCTTCCTGCTTGCTCTTTTTTTCACAGATAGTCTGCACAACAGAAATATAGAAAAGGGCAGATGGATTGTGTGCATCAGGACAGGCAAATTCTGGGGGCCCTTCCAGAGGCTCCAGTGTGCTGCCCTTCTTTTTGACATCTCTGTCTGCTTCCCACACTGAATAATTTAAAAATCATTCTCAGTTTCAGAAAAAAACCTTTAAAGGGCTAAAATAAGCTAGGTGGGGGTTCAGTGGGACACTGCACCCCCAGAAGCTTGTGGGGGCACAACTTGCAGTTTTTGAGGGAGAGGTTCTCCCAGTTTATGTTGGTCTAGGGAAGCCTGTAGGCCAGTGGTCCTCAACCTTTGGCCTCCAGATGCACACCCCCAGAAGCTTGTGGGGGGCACAACTTACAGTTTTTGAGGGAGAGGTTCTCTCAGTTTATGTTGGTCTAGGGAGGCCTGTAGGCCACACTATTATATATGGTTTGAGAATGAGCTCATATATGTGCCTCAGACATATCTCCATGCCCCAGCATCTGAAAGTTACATGTTTTTGTGGCCATGAGTAAACTGAGCCAAAGGTACTCTTCCAAGTGTGCCAAATCTAGACTATTATATATGATTTAAGGATGAGCTCATATATTTGCCTCAGACATATCTCCAGGCCCCAACATCTGGAAGTTACTTTTTTTTTTTTTGGGCCATGAGTAAACTGAGCCAAAGGTACTCTTCCAAGTGTGCCAAATCTAGGAAATCTTACCACAAGAAAAACTAGATTCTGCTGCCTATGTAAATTATGCAAATAGTACATATCTGTATTATTTCCTCTTATTTCACACAATGGTACAACAAGCAGAGTTTGTTCTTAGCTTGTTTTGCTGTCTAGAAGGTGGGGCATGTTTCTGTGCAGTGCAACGGTATTTTGCTTGAACTCTTAGCTATTCTTCTAGCTTCTAGCTGCTGTTTCTCAAGTGTACCTGTGCATCTGTGAGGACTAGAAACTTGTTTTTTTTAAATAATAGCAACCATTCAGCGCTTATCAGGAACCTGAATTGCCATCCCATACTGCAGTTTTTGATCCACCCCTTATTGCACCATTACATACACCACGTTTTATAGTCTGTCATCTTCCATGTTGGCTTTTGGCTATAATAAATAACATATAACCTATAATTTTGCAGAGTACGCGCACAGAGGTGTATAGGTAAAAAACCCCACTTGTGTAACGCATAAAATCCTCTTTTGTGCCAGCAATTGATACTAAAATAATCACTTGTGCTTTTGCTTAAAACATTAGCTTTTTCTGTTTATAAACATATGTGAAATATAACATTATTCATAGTGCTTAGACATTTGCGCACACACTCTCTCTCTCTCTCTCTGTGCAGGGGTTCAGTTGCAAAAGAATGCTCTTTGTCTCTTCACCAACTGAGCTAAATTAAGAAGGGGCAAACAAGAAAGGCAGCTTTTCTCTCTCTGTGTGTTTGTGTGTGTGTGTGTGTGTGTGCGCGCGCGCAGGGGTTCAATTGCGGAAGAATGTTCTTTGTCTCTTCACCAACTGAGCTAAATTAAGAAGGGGCAAACAAGAAAGGCAGCTTTTTCAGTAATTGAGCCTAAACTAAGGACTTGCATCCTGATCAGATCTTCGCTTCCATTTTTGCCAGCTTTGAAATGGTCTCTTGGCTCTTCTGTTCTGCTTGAAATGTTTAGTTGGAGCCTCTGATGTTTTTAATTTTTGTTGTTGCTGATATGCTTTTTAGGATGCTAATTTTGGAGTTTGTATCTGGCCTTGTTTCATGTTATGTGATTTATATCATGGCTGGGAAGCTTTTTTTTTTATTTTTGCTTTTATTTTGTCTATGTCAGTTTTGTAATAGGAAGTAAGAGTTGACAAAAAGAAGAGAGCAACCCTGCAGAACTAGGACGAGGAACAACAAAAAGTCTGAAGTTTAATAATAACAGTACCATTGAGATCACACACAACAGTAGAGTAAAAAAAAAGTTTAGCACAGTTGTTTTAATATCAAGCACGACAGTGCCTTTGTTTGACTAGATTTTACAGGCCTGTCTGTACTCTGTGGGATATGGGGGGGGGGGGGGAAATCAAGGCTGTCCCTCAAAAATTGATGTTTGAATTTTCTTTAAAAACAAGCAAATTAAGCACTTTACATTCCTATTTTTTTTCTTGTAGTTTTTGGTGTTTTTGTCAGTCATAGGGAAGGAGAAGGAAGTTCCACTCTGTAGCTGTTGAAAAATCATGTTTTGTTTACCTTTTTTAGTGTGGTATTTGTATCATCCGTATACTTACTGTTCTTAGCTTCAAATGCTGTCTTTTAGCCTTGGCTCCTTTTTACAGTGAAAGGCAGGGTAAAAAATATTTTAAATAAATAAACAAACAAAACTGATTTTGAGGTTTTGCCACAGGCTTTCAACCCTGCCTTTGCAGCAATGAGGACTAGAGGATTTGTTTTACATTTGTGTGTGTTTTTTTTAAAGGAGTGGACATCCTCACTGGTTTGAGTTCTTTTGCCAGTACCAGTGTTTGTATAGTGCTTGTACGGCACTGCAGGAGCGGGAAAACATAGTTTTCAACAGTGGTGACCATAAAGGCTAGGGATGGGCAATCCGTGTTACCCAGGTGTTGCTGGCCTGCAGCTTTCATGACGCTGCAACTCAGGAGACCTGCAGTCGAACGATACAAATGATAACTCCACACTTTACAGTGAATTTTCCAGTTCGATGGTCAAGCATGGACTAGACTGGGCATGAGGTTCTATGACTCTCAAGTACAGCTGTCTTGCTCAAAATGCTGGCTTGGATGTCTAGCAGAGGATCATTCCTTTCCCAATCTCTTCCCTGAACTTTTATGGAATAGGATGTGAATCAGCAGAAATTCTGTTGGTTTCCAAGCATAGAATCCTGGCAGAAAATGAATCCTATCTGACTTATCATAGGAAACAGTTGGCGGACTTGGCCTCAAAGCCCTTGGTCTCAGCTGCATTTGTATAGCACGTGGTTTCCATAGATTGGTGGTGGAAAAGAAGATGATTCCTTTCCAAGGTCTCGCCCTCACCTCCCTTATCCTTGGCAGGTTCTATCCGGATGAAGAAGGCCCCAAGCACTGGTCCAATGCCCGTTATGAACATGTCATGAAGCTCCGTCAGGCGGCTTTGCAGTCTGCCCGAGACATCTGGGCTGATTACGTCCTGGTAAGGAAAAGTTTTGGAAGACAGGCCTGCGAGGAGGAACTGGGCTCTTAAGGCTGTCTGGCTGTCTTCTGTGGATCTTTGCAGAAGTCATTTCCATAGGGCACATTGCAGTTTTGGAGTCTGCCCACCAGGGATCTTTAGCCCATTTGGGGGGGGGGGCTCCCTTGCGCAGCCATGTGGTTGATGGGGGTGATTCAGAGACTGTGGCTTTGTACATCCCATGGCTGGCACAGTGGCATAGGCTGATTACATCCTGGTAAGGAAAGGTTTTGGAAGACAGGCCTGCTAGGAGGAACTGGGCTCTTAAGGCTGTCTTGTGTGATCTTTGCAGAAGTCATTTCCATAGGGCACATTGCAGTTTTGGAGTCTGCCCACCAGGGATCTTTAGCCCATGGGGGGGGGGGTCCCTTGCGCAGCCATGTGGTTGATGGGGGTGATTCAGAGACCTGTGCAGGCTGTGGCTTTGTACATCCCATGGCTGGCACAGTGGCATAGGGGAAGGTGGCCAAGTCTCAGTTTTCAAAAGATATAATTTATGTGTGGTTTTCTAGGTCATCATCATCATCTTAGAACTGCAGAGCTGGAAGAGATCCTATGGATTGTCAAGTCCTGCCCCTGTCAAAGAGGCATAGTGGGGAATCGAACTCCCAACCTCTGGCTTTGCAGCCGAATACCTTACTCACTGAGCTATCTAGCAGTTCAGTGGTTCCCAATCTTGCATCCCCAGATGTTCTTGGACTACAGCTCCCAGAAATTCTAACCACTAGCCATGCTGGCCAAGGTTTTTGGGAATTGCAGTCCAAGAACACCTAGGCTACCTAATGTTGGGAACCACTGCTCTAGATATTTGAACCATCTGCACCTGTCCTGATCCTTCACTGTTGGCTGCACTGCCTAATGGGAATGGCAGTCTGACAACATCTGGAGGGCCAATTGTTCCCTATTTCTTGGGGTCACATCTGTCTTCTCCACTTGATTATGAGGCAAAAGCTCTCCACCATGTTTCCCCAAATGAACCAGGATGCAGGTTCATCCTGCCTGTAACCTTGGTCCCATCTCTGGCAGTTCTTGATGTTGCTGAAGAAATTGAGAACTGGCTTTTTTGAAAACCAGAACCAAAGAAGGTCTCAGAACAAAAATAATCAAATGTGTTCTCTCCCTCTCATGGCATCTAGTTACCCTGTTCTCCTTCACCCCACCCCTTATCTTCCACCGATACAAATACAGTAAAATCTGCCAAAAAGGAAAATGCCAGATGTGAACTCAAATAGGTGCAGGTATTGTGTGTGTGTTCAGTCGTTTAGTCGTGTCCGACTCTTCGTGACCCCATGGACCAGAGCACGCCAGGCCCTCCTATCTTCCACCGCCTCCCGGAGGTGGGCCAAATTCATGTTGGTTGCTTCGATGACACTGTCCAACCATCTCATCCTCGGTCGTCCCCTTCTCCTCTTGCCTTCACACTTTCCCAACATCAAAGTCTTTTCCAAGGAGTCTTCTCATGAGATGGCCAAAGTACTGGAGCCTCAGCTTCAGGATCTGTCCTTCCAATGAGCACTCGGGGTTGATTTCTTTTAGAATTGATAGGTTTGTTCTCTTTGCAGTCCAGGGAACTCTGAAGAGTCTCCTCCAGCACCACCATTCAAAGGCATCAATTCTTCGGCGGTCTGCTTTCTTTATGGTCCAGCTCTCACTTCCATACAACACTACAGGAAAAACCATAGCTTTGACTATTCGGACTTTTGTTGGCAAGGTG